ATATATATATATTATATATGCAAAATATAGATAAAATAAACACACATATTACATTAAACAAATCTCTTGCAAATCATTGCAAAGACTATATATTCCCTTTAAATTGAGCTATCAGCAATTAGATACCCCCTATTTTTATGTATTTTATTTACAGCTTCAACATTTGTATAGAGCAGTCTATCAGTTGTACAAAAGATACATGGAACCAGAGCGCTCTACACCTGGATGATGTGACATTTCTGTGCCCACAGCGAGTTGAATTTTATATTGTAACATTAGGACACTGACATAGATATTAACAGACCCAACAGAAACATCACTTTATCTGATTAGTACAGACTGCATGTCTATTCTATGTTCCTATTCCTTGTGCATTCTAGGTGGCAGCTTCTCTTAGGGTCCATTCACACCAACTCCAGATCACCTCCAGACCAGACCAGACTGTTGCTGGACCTAAAATGCATCCCAATGTTTCCCTATGCTCTTCTTGGCCTTAGTTCACACCATCGCAGTCAGTTCCAGAGCAGACCAGAAAAATACTGTCTAAATAAAGGTGGCTGTGAGAGGGGATGACATGACTCCTTTTTGAGAAAGTTAATCTACAAAACGCGTCAAAGGATGTTTGGTCTTCACCTCTCATAGCTGATTTTCTACTACACGAATCTCTACACGTTTTTAAAGCTTTTTTAGTTCTGGATTTCCGTAAGTGCATTCATATACTTGAAGAAATAAACTGTACTTGAATACTACACTTAGATGGTTCGCCTCCTTTCTCCATTTGTATCCCTTATGAGACATCTATAGATACACGCTGCCGGCTTGGGCGTTGAGGCGTTGGAATAATAAAGATATAAGGCTAAATTACATTTGAGTGCCTGACTTGGAGATCAAAGGAGATGATGGACTATTAGAACCTTAGAACGTTCCGGTTTTTCTCAATCAGCGATTGGTTGGTTAAATTTTGGAGGATATCTACCAGGGAAATTCCTCTAAATATCAATTAGAGAAGGAGACTAACCGTTTGTATCCCGTCTCATATAAACTGCAAAAATCTTAAAAATTGACTGCTTGCTACATTGCTGAGATTATTCTGTTTATTTTTGTGCCTGTTTGTTACATTGTTGGGATTGTTTTATTTAACCCCTTGTATACATCTAAGAGGGGAATTAGAACATATATTTGATTTCACTAAATTTGGATTCTATCACTGCCCATTTCGGGTCACTGAGACACTAATAAGTGTGTGCATATTATTATTATTATTATTAGGAAGATTATATTTTCACGATTAGGTATTGAAATCACTACCGTTGTTCACCATATTAAGTTTACACATGCAAGAGTGTTAGACCCACGGGTTATTTATATAAGGATTGCAACTAGGTTGCTTTATTTGTTTTTTGTTCGTTTGTCACAGATTACTCTGAGCTACACTAAGTGAGCCCGGCGCGTCTGTCACACATATATTTGATACATTGTGGGGTGGATGAATACATGTTCCACATATCACATGCCTCAATAATTTTTTGGACATTTACACACTGATTATGGCTCTCGCTTGGAACTAAGAGATTGGTCCATATTGAGGGTTTGATTGTACACGCATCGATCACACAATGAGATAGAAGTTTACGGTATTTATATAGATGTTTGTGTTGTTTATGATTCATTCTTTACTCTGGTATTCACATTCACTTAAATCAAGCGCAACTTATTTACCATATCAGAAAAATACTGCGTGTCACGTGGACACCGAATTAGAACTTGTGGAAGCCTGCCCAGAGTTGTATGATCCAAGGCATGGCCAATATAAGAACAATAATAGGAAGATGGACAAGTGGAGAGGCATTGCTGCCCAGGTTGTCCCTGGCTATGATGCATGCTAATGCATCAAAAACGCATGCAAACGCCCTGGAAGCCTATTTTAAAATTTATTTTTTTCTACAAAAACGGCCCGGAACGCGGCAAAAACACACTGCACTGCATGTGCAGAAACTCATGCAGATCTGGTCTGCATTTGGTGTGAACAAGCCCTTAGACAGCTGTAATCTTTACATTTAATTCCTTTTTAATCCCAGGAATATTAGGTCCCAAATGATAATTGTGCTGGAGATATACTGTCAATTACATTGTGTCTGGTCTGGAACACACACAAACGCGTCAAAAACGCACCGAAACGCAACGGGGAGAAAAAACTTTTTTTTTTTTTTTTTGCTTGTTTGGTTAATCTCATGACCCCTGGACTTCCTGCTGCTCTGGAGAGAGATTTGTGAAGATAGGAACCATGATGCCTGAAGTGGACACCGAATTAGAACTTGTGGAAGCCTGCCCAGAGTTGTATGATCCAAGGCATGGCCAATATAAGAACAATAATAGGAAGATGGACAAGTGGAGAGGCATTGCTGCCCAGGTTGTCCCTGGCTATGATCATTTGAGCAGCTCTGAAAAGAACTGTGGTAAGTTAATGTCTCTTATGTGCAAGTATTGTGCTGCTCTTTTCCTGGCTATCTGTAGATCTTCCAGAGGTCCTCCAGCAAGTCCTATAAGTGAACGGGTCATAAACGCGGCAAAATGCAACGCAGTGCATTCCAGATCTGGTCCAGAAAACGGTGTGACCCTGCCCTTCAGGGCTAGATCACACCAAACGCGTTCCAGATGCAGAGCAGTTACAGAACGGATAAAAACTGCGTCCAATGTATTCCAATGGTATTTTGGGCTCTAGTTCACACCGCAGCGTTCAGTTCCAGAGCATGTAAAAAAAACGGCAGCGTGCCCTATTTTTCCTGCTCTGGAATGCATGCTAATGCATCAAAAACGCATGCAAACGCCCTGGAAGCCTATTTTAAAATTTATTTTTTTCTACAAAAACGGCCCGGAACGCGGCAAAAACACACTGCACTGCATGTGCAGAAACTCATGCAGATCTGGTCTGCATTTGGTGTGAACAAGCCCTTAGACAGCTGTAATCTTTACATTTAATTCCTTTTTAATCCCAGGAATATTAGGTCCCAAATGATAATTGTGCTGGAGATATACTGTCAATTACATAGATTGTAGTAGCCATAAAGATATTGAAGGATACTGAATCTTCTTGGTGACCGGATGAATGATGGACACCATCACAGTGCAGGCACCGCATCCACCCCCTCCACATCCATATTTTGTTCCAGTTAGCAGAACTGTTAATAAATCAGTTAAGGCAAAACAAAACTTGGTGGAGAATTATTAGCTATGTTTTACATGGGTGACTCTAGTACGTATGATTGTACAAAGTGTTATATTTCAAATGTTCTTACATTAAATTATATCTGAAGCCAAAACATTTATTTCAGTTTTAGAGAGAGTAGAGAAAGGTTAGAGCCCCTGTTGGAAGATTAACTCTGTGTGTGTTGGTGACTGCGGTTACGGGACAAAAAGTGAATGGAGACAAAATGTTACAGTTTTCACTTAAACAGGAAGTGAGGGAAGATCTTCCCATAGAAGGTTGTATTCTGGTGATATTTCTGTTGTGTCTATGGGTCAGGAAATCAAGGGAAATCTCCCCAATGGGACACAGGCAAAAAAAAAAACCCAAACCTGACAGGGGTTTTAACCATTCCCTACGCTATCTAATCGTAAATAAAATATTTGATATCTACTGCAAGTAAACATGTTAAAAACCTAAGCTGTTCAAGTGGGCAGACCATCGGGGAAAAACAAATGTGAAAAGATCAGTGATCCAAAAGTTTGAACTATTCAAATGATAACCAAATATTGATTTTGCCTGTAAATGTCAAGCTTGGCCATGCCCCTCCTCTCTTCTGAGCCTTTATTGTGGTCCTTAATGTGACAGGTTGCCAAAATAATCAACAGGCTTAGAAGGAGGTGGCCAAGGTTTCCTTCAGGTTTACTTTAAGCATGCAAGGGAAAGCTAGGTTAATCATGTATTATCTGAGGTATCCATACCAAGCACATCTCATCTCCGAAGTCATACAACGTCCTAGGCAAGAGAAAACCTTCGCTCGGCCAAGCCAAGATTTAGAGATGACATCATGCTTGGTACAATACGGTGATGTCATCAAGTTGCCTTGGTAATGGCAGAAGCTTGCCTGAAATTGTTTCTGCTATTCTGCAAGCTTTCAGTGATTTCTTCTCAAGGAAGCTCACCAGGTACAGGAAAAGAGCTCATGTTCTTGGATTCACTACTTTACCACAGTCATTTTGTTAGTTCAGTACCTATCCACTTTTACTAGGCCAGACATGATGCCTTATCTCACCTTTAGTTCATTACTACTTTCTGCTACTGTACATGTGCACGTAATGTGCAAGCAACAGGTAGGGTTGCCACCCATCTGGGATTTACTCGGACAGTCCGGGTTTGGAATTCTGTGCCCGGGTGTCAGCTCCTCACACCCTGGCACATTATTCAAACCGGACTTGTGGCTCCCTAAGGAAGCCGCATACTGCTCCTTCTCATGCTGCAGCCAGTCTCTCTCAGGTGTCTCACCTGGCATTATGGTCACGTGAACTCTGTTTCGCCTGATTGGCTCCTTGGTGTGTGTATCGGCGCTGCTGCATAGTGAGAGATCTTGACGGAGAGCCGCCCCATTCCCGCCCCCCACACTGACCACTCGTGGCCAGAGGGCGACACTACACCCTCTATAAGGCCCCGTTCCCACTGCGCGATATGCAAATCGCGCGTTTGTCGCGCGATTTGCATATTGCGCGACATCGCGAGATTTGCCGCGCGATGTCGCGTTCAAGCTTGCATTGAGCAAGCTTGAATCACGGCTAAATCCGCTCCAAAAAGGGATAAATCGCTCAATGTGAACGGGGTCTTAATCACACCCCACTGAAGAGGACCTATTACCTGATTAAAGAGGACCTGTCACCTGACTGAGAACCTGTCAGCTTACTGACGAGGACCTGTCACCTGATTGAGAACCTGTCAGCTCATTGAAGAGGACCCGTCACCTGATTGGGAGGACCTGTCTAGGTTTGCCACCCTTCTGGGATTCACCCGGACAGTACGGGTTTGGAATTCTGTGCCAGGTGTCAGCCGACTTGTGGCTTTTTAAGAAAGCTGCATACCTCTGGGTGCCGGCATTGTCACTACATTTGTAGGGCCGCGGCTGAGCCTAGTTTCTCTCCTCCATGGCCGTGCGAGGGACTAGGAGGAAGTGACATGAGACACCACATTCCAGACAGCCCACCTGAGAACCTAGGAGGTGCACAGCCCACCTGAGAACCTAGGAGGTGCACAGCCCACCTGAGAACCTAGGAGGTGCACAGCCCACCTGAGAGACGTATAGCCCACCTGAGAGCTGTACAGCCCGCTTAAGAGTGCACACAGCCCACACCGGCCACCTGGAGACATCAGGGCGCCAACACAGAGTATGTAGCTTCATAATATTTTGTATTGCTGTATAATGTATTGCTGTGGACCTCTATAGGCTGTTTCTTTTTGCTCTGTCTCCTGGCTGCCTCTCCTCTATATTCACCCCCCAAAAAATTGGCCGTGCGCAGCGCTAACAGATTGGTTTGGAAATCTTTAATTGTGCATACATCACCATCCTAAATACACATTGGCAATACTATTATTTTGTAACGGTTTTATTCAAAGGATACGTTTTCTACGCAGATAAGGTAATAGCATGACCTCTGGATCTGCATTTTTCTCAACAATCTGCAACAAAAAAAGAAAAAAAAATTATTTGTTTCTTATGACTAAATCAAACTGATGTGTACTTGTTTAAACAAAACTCACAAAGCAGCCAACGCTCATATTCCTTGTCCTGCGGTCACACAGCCCCACCCCTCTTGTTGGTGCAGGCAAGGAAAGCATGCTGCAGCTTGATACTGGTTCTCACAATAAACAATTGCCGCACAAAACGACTGGAATCACAAGCTGGACAATGTTTATTCCCGAGGTCAATTGTTTCAATGAGAACTAAAGTGGACTTGTACTTGAGATTGCACTCAGCACAGCCAAAGAGGCCCCCTTAAGGTCCCATTCACACAAATTGCGGTGCATTCCAGAGCAGTAGCTGCTGGAACGCACAGCAATCGTTGACTAAACTTCCCCCTTCGTTCTGAGATGGGAGGAGGCGTGGTGGTGCATTGAAGTCAATGGCACCACAGCCCCCCCGCAGTGTGATCGAACGCGTGGAAAACACTTGCAGCAATCCCGTGCGGGCGATCGCATTGTGGCCGGAGGGCGTGGCTATGGAGCCATTCACTTCAATGGCCCGCCACGCCCCCCTCCTGCCCCACTAAAAAGTGAGCCAGCCGCAATGCGAGGCGTTGCGTTCTGGACAGAATTGGGCCAGAACGCATTGCAACTGGTGTGAACGGGCCCTTGTAGAAGATGCATAGGAACATTGAATGCTAATTTTGCCTCATGCAGCGTCTCCTCAAGTTCTTAAGGCACAACTCCAGTCAAAAATAACAAGATAAATATGGCCGACAGTATTGACACTCAATGTCCTCAGTGTAATGGCCAGCATCATTTAACCCACTTCTTCTGAGCCAAGGCCATCTTGGAACCACCTCATCCTGTGAATGGACTGTGAAAAGAGAAGCAGCACAGTGATGAGATCATCTTTCTGTCACTGTTTTCTCCTCCCATCAGCATGCTTCTTCTCGGCACATGTATTGATTGCCTCACTGTGCGGCAATCTCCTCTCACATTAAGTGCTGCTGAACAGGGACTGCAAAAGCCTGGAACTAGGCCAAATTCAGGTACTTCAACCGCTTGCAGTTAAAAAATATATATTTAAAGGCATATTCGACTTATTGCAGAAAAATAATAAATGTACTTGCAAAAAGAAAAATTTGCATGTATTATTTTTTTGAATCGGAGTCTGCAAAGCATTCCAACCACCATCAGCGGATCATGGGTGCAATGCACAGGCTCCTGCAGACTTCTTACAGCCCCCAGGTCCCTACATATGGGTGTCAGTGGCGTAACAACAACCGGGGGGGGGCAGCAGGGGCGCGGGCCCCGGGCGAAAAGTGAAGGGGGGG